AAAAACGACAATAAGGAACCCCTGCCCTACCTGCCCATTGAGTCAGCCTTTTCAACTAGTGAAACAAGGGTCGGCCTGCGTCATCGCCAATCTCAGCATACCTCAGGCAATTAGAAGAGAATCACCAGGTAACTCAAACATCCAAGGGTCTTCTGTGCGTTATGAACTATAGACCACCTTGTGGTTGTCAAACTAATGACGACAAAGGGATTCCTTTCCTTAAACGTCCTTTAATGATGTTCTGTGTTGGATCCATTTACCGGACTTTGCGCCGTCGTCTGTCGCCTGGGCTGAAAAGCCGCAAGGACTTCATCTTTGGCGCCACGTCTAGAGTCCAAGTCTTTGGGGGGGCATGAGTTTATTTGGTTCAAGATCTTCAAGTTAGTTCGGTCAAGAACAGTAACCGCTAAAACAAGCTGACACGTGGAGAAGTCTGCCTTCAAAACAGCTGTCATTCAACAACATCCAATTTTGCATGCACTTCCCTGAAGCCAAAACACTTCACGACCTGTCATTGCGGAAAAAGAGCCGAAGTTCACGGCCATCCTGTCCTTCTACATGGTTCAAAGCACCACCCAATTTTGCACGCTTTTCCAACATGCCAAACCAAATATCCATTACAGTAAAAACAATATTCTACACATTCAGCACAGGTGCTAAAGGAATACTCATGCAAAATCCTCTGGAAGAACTTATCTCTAGAAAGTTCCGCCAATAGATCTTGGCTCATGAGGACATCGGTGGCGAGGCTTCCCCAACTCAGTGACCGTACAAATCCCAACCATATTCAATAGGGCCCGCATGGAACCCACACATCTTCTCCCGTTCCTGCGACTATGCTGAACGCGACCACTAATTAGTCACTACTCTGTCGTGCTTCAGCAAAAATAGAATACACGTGAATACAAATCGCAAAACTACCAAAAAAAGCCAGCAAGCAACCATCCATAAAAGGGATAAAACAGGAATGGCGAAGTAAACCCATCCGAACACTCATCTCTACCGTTCCCTGCTCTCTTCCACCGACCTCGCCAGGGCACGCGCTCCTTGGCACACCATCCCCCAAGCGCCTGGGGGCAGAGCCTGAGGCCGGCATGGCCAATAGCAGAGCTGTTCTGAAGGAAGCCAGGATGAGATTGAATATGTGGAAGTCAAAGAAAGCATACGAAAGCGAGTCAAGGGATTGATCTTAATAGTCTTGCCTAGATTTTAGAATGTGAACTGGAGTTGCCTTTGACTCACCACAAGTAGACAGTCTCAAAATGAGGGGAGACCGTGTGACCGTTCACCCCTATTGGTATTGCTATGTTCAAAAGGGAATGGCTATTGGCTGCGGCTTTGATGTTGATGGAGGTGGATGGCTATGTCTCAAATCAAGTTCTAGTGAACGATGAAAGATAACGCACATTCTGTTCGGAGGATCACATTTTGAAAGAGGTTCAACAGTGGAGGATTAGACGAAAGGACTCTTATATAACCAGGTCATCCAGGTCATCCAAAAGAGTCTTCTACATCTGGGTCTTAGTAATGAGACACCCCAATCAAAAGATGGCCTTCTGTTGAGTGATGTATGATATGGACTATATAGATGTTGAGTATTCTCTCTCACACCCATGAACCATCGGGTCAATTTGATCTTGTCACATTAGAGGTCCTGTCTGTTCACATTCCACAGCACCCAGCTGGCTGAGGAGGGGTAGCATTCCTATCTCAGGGGCGCCTGTAGAATCTTCACCAGAACATAAGCGATCAGGTGACGGGTGCAAATGGCTAAAGCGGCTAAAGGTTGCCTCCAGAATGCACAAAAAACACAAACCACCATAAACAACCCAAATCCGAATCCCTTTTTGCCAAAGACACGAAGCCATGGTTTTCTCATATCGCCCTCGATCGCCCCAAAAACATCGCCCTCGATCCGCCCGCCTGTGAGATGTCGCATGGATTGAGCCCATTGGCTCCACGAACCCACCGGCCTCGGGACGGACAGCGTCGCTTCGGAGCCCGGAGACGCTTCGGAGCTTGGAGACGACGCTTCGGAGCTCGGTTTCGCTTAGAGCTGAGAAGAACTGTGATGATTATACCTGTTTTTGTCTTCCTGGCCATGGTTGGTTCCACAAGGCATCTATGTACAAGTGTTTGTGATTTTTGTAAGAGGTTCTCCAAGGTACCAGTAGATGCTCAACTAGAGGAGCAGCCTTCCAAAAAGGAGATGCACATCAACGACCTCCACCCTCTCATGCTGGCCATGAGGCTTCTTCTTGCGACCACCCAGCAAGGACTGACAAGCCGGCTGGAACTGAGGACACAGATCTATCGAATCGCTTCATAATCTACAGGTCCAAGAAAAGATAGAAATGGTGTCCAATACGTGTTCAAGGGGAATTGTTCGTTATATCTATTTTGGGAAAAAAAACTGCTGTGTACCTTTGAACAGATTTGCGGTCAAGGGATTGATGGGGCCTTGATCCGGAATTGTGGTGCGATTGACAAGTATATAATAGATAACACACATTAACAAACTATAATACTAACAACTCTGAAAGCATGCATCAACCGTCCCTTATTGTTTGACCTATGTATATCATCATCATGATGACCCCAAGCTGGCTGTGGACTACACTCATCAGAGTCATAACAACTCTCAGCTCAATGCCGGTGATCCCTTTGTACTTTCAGGGGTTTCTCGGCTGGGGAGCCGGCGCAGGATCTCAATTTCAGTGGCTGGGCGCCCAACATGAGCAAAATGTCTGCTAAAACTGTTGTCCAACGTGCCACAGGGTTGGTGTTTAGGTTTTGACTGCCATCCATCATAATCCAGGACCTCAAACACTCTAGCTCCATGCTACAGTAAGTTGGTTCAATGCCTGATACAATGTCCATCGGAATGGATGAAACTCGAGAAAGGAACTCACAAGTCTTATATAATCAAGGCAGAGCGAGCTGAAACCATGGAAATATTGGCAACTAATGGCAACTACACATCACCTGGGCATGGGAATGCCTTACACGTGCCCGGATACTAGTATTGAGCTCTTCCCTGTGACAACCAAATGAACGTGTACTGAACGGTGTCGAATAAAACCGCTACAAAGCTTCTCCAAGCTGCACCACCCTTGACACCGACTTGGATAAACCCCAAAGCCGAAAATCACCTGAAAAGTGTTGACCAAAAGTTGGGCAAGCTTGGCGTACTAAACTGCGTACTATACACAACTGTGGGCAAACTGTGGGCAGGGCGTGCCAAAGCTGACAGATTATTTGATTTGGTCGGAAAAAAAGCATTAAGTACAAATTATTGACCTGAATTCACCTCTCTCAGCCTCCTGCACTTCTGGTGACAACTCCCCGCACCCACATGCAGTCTGACTGCCTCGCCAGCTGAATGGCTTGGGGCCTCAAACAATGGGTCCTCGCCGGCCTGAGCGCTATAGGTCGGTCCTTCACGGTACTTCTGTGTGTGGCGAGTGGGACAAGAACGGTTCTCAACAATGCTTTGAGGCTATAGAAAGTGTCTTTCGCATACAAACAGAGCCAGTTAATCTTGACATGCTATGTCCCCACAATACGCCTTGGATTGAAACTCTAAACTGAGATTCTCCGCTAGACTGGTAGACCTCTGAATCACTTCAATAGATCACTTGTCCTGTTGGCGTCGGAAGATCTGCGCATGATGGTACAACATTTAACATGTTGTACAAAACGTTTAAACAGAACCCACCTGCCAATAAATCGTGCTAGGAACATCAACTCTTACTGGACGCGGGATGAATCGAATGAAATCGTCTGGTGAGGTCGCTGGCAGCTGGGACCACCTGAAACGCGCTATGATGTTGTCTCTATTCGAGAAACATGCAGGACATCTAGTCGGACTATGATTGTCTTGAAGACATGCTTCTTCCTACTGTTCGTTCCCCTGAAACATCGTGGGCCAATCAGTTGGTTTGCATATTGGACACCGTGAGACCCCTGAAACAATGGCTTTTTGTCTGGCCGTCATTTCACCAACTAATCTCCTGAGGGTCTCCCTATTCCTACACACCGGGCTTTCTTTCATTGTTTGGAGTTGTATTGCAAAAGGGGAACCTCCCAACCAATGGATGAAAAGTATGTTTTTGCTTTTCCAAGAGATCTTCCAGGGGTCTCCCTGCTCTCTGATACACCTCCATTTGCTGCTTCTTCCAACCGTTCTGCGGCGCATGCTCCCGTTATGCAGCCCAAGCCACCGCCAACTCACCATCCGCGGAGCTCAGCGCTGTGAGCGCTCCCCGCCACTGCCGCTCCGAGGGGGCGGGCGCGGGTGGGGCATACCTTGGAGCGAAAGTGGAAGATCATCTGGGAAGATCCTCAATTTACACCAAATCATTGAGTGATTCTTGCGGGTTTGTGGAGCTGAGAAGAATAGGAACCTCAACTGCCTCCAATGTATTTGATTGGTGTTGGTTTTGAGGGTTGTCTGTAGCCAATTGGCTGGGTTCGGCTCAGCCCAAAGTCAGACTAAGCACAGTGTGAGGTGCCACCCGGGTTTCAAGCGGCTGGGCCTTGAGTCATCTGACCATCAGGTTTGGGCAGATTTTCCTCACTGCTGCTTGCTTGCTTACATCATGCATGATTTTCTGTTGCGGAAACCCATGTTTGCCCAGTATTTGCAAAAGGGAAAAAAGAGAAGAAGGGGATTTCCATGGCTTTCCTGTGAATGATAGTTGCTTTTCGTTGCAATTGGCCCAAATTAACAAGGATTCCTGACCATCGTTGCTTTGGTTCTATTGCTCTATATTGACCTTGGTGCATCTATCCGTTACAGCACCTGGGCTAGAGTGACCCATCCGATGTAAAACGCCGCTGGCTCAGATCGTCGATCGAGACGAGGTCAACTTGAAGAGAATTGATTGGGGGAAAGGGGGGCAAAGGGGATCACTCCAACTCATTGAAACTCACTCAAACCTGCACTGAGGAAACCGCACGGACGTGTCCAAAGGGTTGCTTGCCATGTGGCCCACCACTCAGGTGCTTGGGCTCCATGGTCGACGTCGCCGAGGCCTTGGAGGACTGAAGTTGGGCATGTACTTGGCGACTGGATGCCTTATGGACATCAAACCGTCCGGGAACCATCTGCTTTGGAGTGATTCGCCCTATCCAAACCAAACCTTGGGGGTCGATGGACCATGTGAGGGCCGTGGGGGCAGAGCGTTTGGTTTGGAATGTTGGATCATTCCATGCCGAAGAGTCTAGGACGCTGACACTGGGCGTTACACTCTAACGAAGACATTAACAATATGAAATATGATGTCTAGGACCTGGGCATCCTGTGGACCCAACCCGCAAAGACCAATACGGACATGTTTGCCTTCGGCCATAGGGGGTAGTGATGTTGCATCTGTTGGCAAGGTGTTCTAAATCAAGAATCCACAGGGTTGTGGGATACCAACCACTTGGATACTTCAGTATGTGCCGTTGCCATCTGTGTCGTGAGTTATGCATCACAAAAGACTGAAACCTTGCATGTAGTTGGCAGCATGAAAATCCTCATGCGTACCTCTATCAACTTGCTGATCCATGGATTCTTCCCCCACACCGATGCTGGTCCGAACACTTTAACTCCACCCGGCCAAACTTTGTCCCAGGACCCCTGCCAAGTTGTATGTAGCCTTTGAAAGGGAGACTGAACATTCGGAAGTTGTTCAATTGTACCCTCACTGCACATCTCTTGTGCGGCCATGAGGCATATGGATCTTCGACAAACATTTATGGCACTTCAGAAAGAATGTAGACTATCGAATCATGCCGGTGAATCGTGAATTTCCTCTTGTTACTAAGTTACGGTGGAAGGAAGCAGTGCTCGAATCTCCTTAGTATTGGCACAGGTTGTATGCAACTTCATCCAGGCTCAACCTCAATCCAGCTTGAATGACTGTGAAAACCAGCAAACACCCACCAAACAAGGAAAACAACTCTTTCACAAATGCTTTTTCAGCATTTTGAAGCCAAGGTTGTAGGTGGGACTACCCGCCAAAACACCCAAGCTGGATATACTTGGAGAAAATAATGGAAGATACGCCTGATACGCTTTCTTTGTTTTCTCTTTTTACACCTCAGCCGCTTTGGTAGAACGGTCATCCATCGCATCGTTGAGGCCCCGGCGCTTGCGCTGCCTGCGGGACCAAAGGGTACTTGATCCGTGGAATGGAAACGCAACAGAACCCATGGTAGAAGGATTTCATTATAGGGCGTTTGCGGCAGGGAGGAGGGAGACAAACATTGAAACATATTGAAATCCATGCCTGTGCTAGTCAGCACAGAATGGGTGTTGAACCCTGTAAACAGTCTGTTTTGGTGCTTCTTCTGAGCCCCTCCTCAATGTTTGGAGTCGGACATCCCATCTCCCACCACAGTGACGCGCCGGCAACGATCGGTTGCGGTCCTTCCAAGCACCGGCAAAACATGGCGAACATACTTTTTGATCGAGAACATCGGTCAACAAGTCCCATCTTCAAACTCACCAAGCAGCAACAACTCCCAAGCCCCCGCGCCCACAGAAACCGCCCGCCCCCGCCACCGAGGAGAGCTACCTAAACCCTCATCCCTCCGGCCTGTGATGAGCAACTCCTGTCCATTTGAGCCGCTGACATGTGCCACGTCGTGCACGCCGGAGTGCGGCACCTCAGGGAGCAGTCAGCGGGGGAGGGAGCGGTCAGCCGTGTAGCCTTCCCCGACACAGTCCTGGAAAATGACTGGGTGTCATCTGTAAATATATAGATCTATAGCGCGGACGGGAGCACGAGTCTGACACGCTCAGCTTGGGCAGTGAAGATGATATGATATAACTAGAATCTGGAAGAACATGTGCAAAATAGTTTCTTGGGAGGTTAAGGGGAATACTTCTTACAACCATGGAATTCTCTTGATTTCAAAGTAACCACTGGAATTCTTCCACCTGATTCTTCATCCCACTTCTTCTGGTCTCACTGAAGGACGACAGGACAACTCAGCCCAGGCGCCCTGTCAATGTGTGTTGCCTGTCCATACAATGACTTCGTTGTGTCGCCAAGGCATAAACACGCATAAACAACAGTTGTTTTTGCCAAGAATGTTTCATCCGTCAAAGCCTACAGGAGGCATTATATAAGTTTGATGATGAACAAGCCAGTCTGCTGGGGATGCTGGTTTAACACATGTTCGGGTTCCACCACCCTCAGGCCATGGCTAGTTGAATGGCACGCTGTAGACTCTGGACGAATACCACTGAACCCTGTGACGAGACATGCCTGGTGGCTGTTACGGTCAGGGGGTTCCCTCCGATTTCGGACTCCAATGGGTGCACCGTCCTCCGTGCCGTTTGCGACACCACTGTCAGTCCAAGGAGTCCGCTGTTTCAACATGTTTGGTGCATTCGAAAAACAATGTTGATATGGGATACTGGACATCTGGACACATGGTCTTTGGGTCTGTGGGAGGACCTCCTATTCTACCACGAACTTGCTGGAGACTTGCGTGACGAAAAGGTGGACAAGTGTCAGCATTTCGGAATGGTGTTCGTCCAACATGGCCAAGCGAAATCACGGAACGACCGTCATATCCTGGACGAAAACAACTCGAATCGCGTTTTTTGACCTACTCTCCCAGCAAACATGGAAGCAAACAACTCCCTTTTTGTATAGAGGAACATAATAGTCTTTCCAGATCTTACCAGTGGTCATTTTCCACTTCCGTGATTGTTGGAGGGAGGGTAAAGCCTTGTGGAGAACTCGCCTGGTTGGGTGTTTCCTGCTGATTCCTAGTGAGAAGCCTTCATCTGGTACTGAAAAGCTCCTAAAAATCCAGTCTGCCAGGAGGACGTGTCCTCTGCGTGAGTTGAATGAAACTCCTGATGTTAAACCCCCCCCAGTTCCGGTGCCTCTGTTGAGCTGTTCCGTGGCTGGCGGGACAGCAGCGCGGCCCACGATTCGGACGAGTTCGTCTCGGGGATCTGACGTCCATGGGCCTTTTCAATCCAAATTGCGCCACTTGGCTCTAACAAGAAACAGTGTCACTGTCAACAACAACGTCTGATTCCAGAAAAACGGTCTAAAACAAGTTCAGGGTTCCACAGTTCCACTATGTTTCACTGGTGTGCTTTTCATTCGTCGTCATACGTTCCGTGACCATTGGGGCCCTTGGGAGGCTACAAACTTTTGACCTACACCAAAATGCTGTAAGAACATGATGGAGACCCTGCAGCGGAGCGGTAGATGGTCTACGCTTATCGGACTTATCGGAACACTGACAGCCTCAGCAAAGTTTCTGGCCATACAAACAGTCTGGCGAGCATGTTATCTGCACACGACGAGGTAAAACAATCGATAGGGTGCATCAGGGTACATCCAATTCTTTCCACCTACAGTAAACGGTTGTCTGCGTACGTTTTAATTTCCTAAACCCAAGGGAACTAAAAAATAGATCTAAACTGCCGCCAATCGTGAACTGACTTACCCTCATTCTTAATGAAACATGAATTTGAATGAACATGACAAACAAACTTGTTTTCCTGGGCTTCACATCCAAACCCTATAGTATCCTATAGTAACTTGAGGCCGAGGGTAGGTGACGAAAGCTAGCAGGGGTGCATCCGGACTGGTGGGACATCAAGCGGAGTGAGGCAAATGCTCATGAGGTAAAACGTTGTGAACATGTAAGACACACAAACAGCAATGACACAGCCAACCTTAGAATTGAAGGCCCCGATAATTAAGGAAGCGTGGCTGGACTTTGCCACACTGTTCGATGCATCCGATGTGTTCACGAACCTGTGAGCTTGTTGAATCTGTTGCACCGTATCCCAAAACCTCCACGGAGGAGTTGAACCAGTGTGGATGCCATAAGAGGTGCCCAA